GGCCCCCACGCTTCTCAAAACGTCCTCAACGGGCAAATGCGCCTGGGCTTGCCGGGGGAAGTGTTCGCCCGGTCGGATCAGTACCGCCAGGTCTCCAGCCCCAGGACTGACCCGTACTCGGCGGCTCAGCTGCACAACCAGTACGGCCCCATGAATATGAATATGGGCATGAACATGGCAGCCCACCACCATCACCACCCAGGTGCCTTTTTCCGCTACATGCGGCAGCAGTGCATCAAGCAAGAGCTCATCTGCAAGTGGATCGACCCCGAGCAGCTGAACAACCCCAAAAAAAGTTGCAATAAAACTTTCAGCACCATGCACGAGTTGGTCACCCACGTCTCGGTGGAGCACGTTGGGGGACCCGAGCAGAGCAACCACGTCTGCTACTGGGAGGAGTGTCCCCGGGAAGGCAAACCCTTCAAAGCCAAATACAAACTGGTCAATCATATCCGAGTGCATACGGGAGAGAAACCCTTCCCCTGCCCCTTCCCCGGCTGCGGAAAAGTTTTCGCCAGATCAGAAAACCTCAAAATTCACAAAAGGACGCATACAGGTAATTCGGGTTCCGTTCGGCAGATTATCACCCTTCTGCCCATGCCTATATGTATGTATAAAACCTCATAGAAATTCAGGCAGAGAGGTGTAGAATGATGAGAGTGATAAAATAACGATCCTGTTTAATATTTTTTTCACCGCTCCATCCCACGGCTGCGTTTGTTTTGCTTTCTTCCCCACCAGAATCCCCATTCCCCTTCTCCCCGCTCCCCTTTCCAGCTTTCGAGAGGATATCTTACCGATTTCTTTTAATTTGCGGGGTGAGCGATGTAGATTCGTGCCAATGCTCGGCGGGGTCTTCCCGCAGGAAAGCAAAATTCAGCACGAAGTGAATTCTGTCATTCTCCTAAAAGACGGGAAAATGTGTATGTGTGTATATATATATACGCGCACACGCGTATATATATGTACATATACATATACAGAAGAAACGCCTTAGATATTTGCAATGCGCAATGTCTTTGTATCTAACTTCAGCCCTTGTGAGCATGGCATTCACTTATGGATACGGAGAAAGAAATTATATAAATACAGGCAAAATCCATCATTAGTCTGAAATCCCGTAGGAAGTGGGAAAACTTCCCTTTCTGGGAATGCTTTCCATTAAATTTAAATGGTGTGAGCAAGGCAATAAAATTTTCTCATTTAAAAAAAAGAGGCAAAAAGTGTTTTTGAAGTCTCACTCTAGGTGATTTAAGGTGCTTTCGTAAGAGTTTATTAAATCAGGTAATAGGGAGCGGAGTGGTTTGAGGCTCGGAAACTTCTACTCGAATCAGGTGGAAGAGGGAGCTCAGGCTTTCCCGATGGAAAACCGCCTGAGCCGAAGGGTAGCAAAACTAAACGCGTCCTCCCGCCTCATCTATTATTCATTTACTACTCGAACCGTGCCAGACTATTTCAGACAAGACGGCCAAATATTTTAGCCACTTCCACTCTAAATATTTACCCCGAGAAAGGTGAAAAAAAAATCCCGAGGCCTATTGTATTTCTCAAGTGCTAAGCCCGATGCGAGGTGCGAGACGAGCTTTAACAAGGTTTAAAATTTGAGAAATGTATTTGCATGAGATGCCCGCTCTGCCGGCATTGTGTCTGAGCGGATGTCTTTAAGAAACAATTTAGGTGCTAATGGAATTTAATGTTAAATGCTTCCCCCTCCAAAGCCGGGGGAGGGGGGGGTGGATGGATGTGGAGTTCTCACCTCCAAATTACTCCCCGGCATTTGGAGCCCTGGCAGCAGCCGGGCGAGAGGAATCCCGATGAAAATTAAATGAAGTATTTTACAGACGTTTAGTTTTCCCAGCGGATGTGCGTTTATCTCCAATATCCATACACGAAACGATCTGCCCGGCCTTAAATCTGGCGGCAACGGTTGCCACTTTAACAGGAGAGCGAGTTTGGTACTGAGGCGAAACGGCTTAATGCTTTGATTTATTTTTGTATATATAATTATTATTTTTATTCGCCTTTCGATCTTCAGTCTCTTTTGGGGCCAGCTGTGTGTCGG